GCTCTTGTATAATATAGAAATATGGAAACATGTCTGTAAGTGAATATTTGGGTTGTAGTCACGATGATTATTTTGGAAAATTGTAACATTGAAAAGGGCAGGGAGGGCCTCCCCGGTGGCGCAGCGGTTGAGCGCTGGGTTGCGAGGCTGCCCGCTGCCTCTGCGGCGCCGGTTCGATTCCCGGCTGCTCCCCGGCCACCGGAGGAGGGTCCCACATGGCGTGCAGACCTCTCCTGCCGCCCGCTGCTCCCCTCAGCAGTGTGCCTCGGTCCTTCTGCCTGCTCTGCTCCCTGCTCTGACTCTGGTGAGTTCTCTCACCCTCCCGCGCTTCTGACTGTACCCAGTGCATGTACAAACAAAACAAACGAACAAACAAATAAATAAATAAAAACATGCCTCTATAAAAAAAAAAAAAAGAAAAGGGCAGGGAGACACTAACATTAAGTGCCCGTTATGTGCCAGTCCCTTTGCAGGATGATTATATAATTTCTCTTTAAGTAGAGAAACTAACTTGCTGAGAGTCCCCAAAGCAACAACAAAAAAATCATTTAAGGGTTATAGAAATCAATATATTTTACAGATAAACTCAAATGCAAAGGCTTAAATTACTCAAGGTCACACAACTAGTAAGTCATGGTGGTAGGATTATTTTAGCTGCAGAGAAATAAAACTACTTCAGTTGAGATGGAGAACTGAATTAGAATAGGATGGATACAGTCAATCTTGGGGTATGGAGTAGTAGTGGTAAAATACATAGTCCAGATGCTACTTGATCTAATAGGGTTTCAAATCACACAGGTTGTATAGATGGCTGTCCCCAAAATTTGCTATAAAATGGGTCATTTTATAACGATGAAGGTGATCATGAGTAAATTAAGTTTTGATGCTAGATTAAGTTGTCACAGTTGCAGTTTCAAACAAATGTGGTCAATTTCACAGGAAATACCCTGGATAAAGATGGACTAGCTATGCTGTTAAATCCTCACAGGGCTTCAGGATCCTTGGTATAAATGTGTAGTCCTTAGCTTTATAGTTAGAAATTTTGAGTAGTAAACTTATGCCTGAATGGACTCCAGGGGTTAGAATTATTGTAACCAAATTCATAAATAAGAATAACGATTATTAATCTTTGCAAGAGAAATATTGTTATCTTGTAATCCAGTTCCCCTTATTTATACTAATCAGCATTATTTTAGTTTGCTGAGACTTATTTGCCATAACGGAGTACCACGTCTGGCTGACTTAAACAACAGAAATTTATTTTCTCAAATTATGGAGACTGGAAGTCCAAAGTCAAGATGCCTACTGGTTTCTTTGATAATTTATCTCTGTCCCTGACTTAGAGGCTTCCATCTTCTTGCTGTGGCCTCACATGACCTTTCTTCACTATGTAGGTAGAGAAGTGTCTGGTAGGGTATCAGGCCTATCAGTTTAGATCTTTGCTCTTACGATAACAATATAAAGATAACCATGTATTACAAGCAAGCAGCCAATATCATAGATAATAGTGAAAAACTGAAAGCTTTTCCCTTTAAGATTAGAAGCAAGAAAAAGATGCCCACTATCACTACTTTTGTTTAATTTAGAATTAGAGGTTTTAACAAAAGCAATCAGACACCAACAGGAAATAAAAGGAATATGAGTCAAAAAAGAAGTAAAGCTATCACTGTTTGCAGACAATGTCATATTATATATGTTATATGTTGTATTATATATATTATTATATTATACTATATATGGAAAACCCTAAAGACTTCACCAGGGAGCTGTTAGAGACAATGAATGAATATAGTGAAATGGCAGGTTAAAGAATCAACATAGAAAAATCTGTTGCAGTTTTATATACTAACAACAAATGAGGAGAAAAAGAAATCAAGAAGATAATTCCATTCACACTCTCCCAAAATGAATTAAGTACCTCAGAATTAATCTAACCAAGTCAGTAAAGGACAGATACAATGAGAACTACAAAAATTTAAAGGAGTTTGATAATGACAAAGGAGATGGGAAGACATCCCCTGCTCATGGCTGGAGAGAATTAATATAATAAAAAATGACTGTTCTACCTAAGGCAACATATAAATTTAATGCAATCCCTATCAAACTACAGTATTTTTAAGATTTATTTTATTTGTTTATGCATACAAGAGCTGAGGTGTAGGCCGGTGGTTGGGGAGGGGGGGAGGTGAGAGGATTCACCAGAGACAGAGGGAGGAGCAGAACAGATGGATTTACTAAAATATACTGCTGAGGGGAATAGTTGGCCAGACAGGAGAGGTCTGCTGCACATTGTGGTTTAGCTTCCTGGCTGGGGATTGAACTTGTGCTGAAGTGCCTGCTGATAGCTTCATAGTGCTGAGACTTAACACTTTGCATCAGGAGGGAGATCCCAAAATACAGTGTTTTTAAAAGAAATTTAACAAAAAATATTGAAATGTATATGGAACCATAAGGGTCTCAAAAAGCAAAAGCAGTCCTGAAAAATAGGAAACACGGGCATCATGTTATCTGATCTTACACTGTACTATTTAAAACAATATGGTATTGGTATAAAGATAGACACATAGATCATTTAGTATATCAATGGAAAAGAATTGAAAGCTCAGAAATGAGTCCAGATGCATATCAATCCTTAATGGGGCAGGGAGAGTGTCTTTAACAAATAATGCTGGGAAAGCTGGACTGTCATGTGTAAAAGTATAAGATTGGGTCACTTTCTAACTCAGTGCACAAATATAAGTTCCAAATGCATAAGACCTGTAATGGCAAAATATATATAAGAAAACTGGTAATATGATCCAGGACATCAATGATGAAGACGTTTTTGGAGACTTGACTCCTACGGGAAGGGAAATTAAAAACAAGCATAAATACTGGAATTACCTCAAATTTAAAAGTATTTACAACATGGAAGAAAATGTAAGCCAAAAAAATCTTGTCTGTCTATATCTGTCTATCTATCTATCTATCTATCTATCTATCTATCTGGAGATTAGATAGACATCCTACTAAATGGAGACATTCTACTAAGTGGAGGAAATACACATTGCACAACTTGTCAAGGGGTTAATATTCAAGATACATAAAAAACCTAGTCCAACAACAACAAAAAACCCAAAGTTCACTAAGGAGGATATCCAAAAGGTCAGTGGATACATGGAAAAATGCTCATTATCTCTTCTAATAAGGGAGATGTAGGTTCAAATTACAATGAGATATCACCTCAAGCCTTTCAGAATGGTACATATTAAAAAGACCCATCCTACTCCCAACAACAGATGCTGAAGAGTGGAAGAACTACTGTGTGTGGGAATGTAAACTTACAGCCATTTTGAAAAGTGATCTGGATTTATCTTTAAAAACTAAAAATGGAAATGCCATATGTCCCAGCAGTCCCACACACTGGCATCTATCCAAAGAACTTGAAAACCATTAGTTCAAAAAATATATCCTTTATAATATTGCAGCAGTATTTACAGAAGTTAGCTAGCACATGGAAATAACATAAATGATCATAGATGGAAGATTGGGTTAAGAAGCTGTATAGTCACACCATCAAATACTCTTCAGCCATAAGGAAAGACAAAATGTTGCCATTTACAGCTAAGTGGGAGGATATAGCCTTAGTTATATAATCAGCTTTCTAGGGTTTATTGTTAACTTGGCTAATATGACCGTTTGATTGGTCATATATTTCAGAGGTGAGTGACACTTTTTGCTGTATTTTTTTTTTGTTTTTTTTTTTAAATTATTTTATTTATACAAGCACTGGGTACAGTCAGAAGCGTGGGAAGGTGAGAGGATTCACCAGAGCCAGAATGGGGAGCAGAACAGGCAGACTAACGAAATACACTGCTCAGGGGAGCAGCGGGCAGCAGGAGAGGTCTGCGCACCATGTGGGATCCTCGCCAGCAGCTAGGGATCGAACTGGCGCTGCAAGGCTTCAGGCAGCTTTGCAGCTCAGCACTCAACCACTGTGCCACCAGGGGAGGCCCAGCTGTATTTATTTATTGTTCCTAATAACTTTTTGATGGAGTCTTTAAGATCTTCTGTATATAATATATTGTCCGTGAATAGTGATAGTTTCACTTCTTTTAAACTTAGATTCCCTTTACTTCCTATGTGTGCCTCATTAGTGCTGGTCAAAACCTCTATTACCAAATTAAACAGAAGTGATGACAGTGGGCATCCTTGTCTTCTGCCAGATCTTTCTTATTTCAAAGCTGAAAACATTCAATTTTTCACCACTTAATATTCTATTAACTCTTGGTTTGAGATATATGGCCTTTATTATATTGAGATAGTTTCCTTCTATTCCCATCTTGTTTACAGTTTTTATCATAAATGGGTGTTGAATCTTAGCAAATATTTTCTCTGCATCTGTTGATATTATCATGATTTTTATCTTTTTGTTGACATGGTACAGTATGTTACATTAATTGATTTATGTATATTAAACCATCCTTGCTTCCATGGCATGAATCACACTTGATCATGGTGTATAATCCTTGTGATGCACTGTTGAATTCTATTAGCTAGTATTTGAAATTTTTTGACATGTTTGATAATACAGTCCATTTTCTTCTAATGCTAAAAGGACTGTGAAAGATTGGTCAAATTAGAGCAGAAGTGCATATATTAAATTGTGCAGTGGACTTTGCAAATAACACCCCAACATGGCAGTTACATCACAGAATTACATCACAGAAATTCCCATCTGGTAGAAGTGCAAGATATCTTACACTTTATAACTTATTAATATTTGAGGTTACTACTCTTGTATTTGATATCTAGTATTAATGGACAAATTTTTATCTGGAACATCACTGAAATAACTGGAAAAGTATTTTATATTCTTACTACTTCTGTTAGGATTTCTAAACATTATTCTAATAGCATGGGGGGTATCACTATCTTGTTATTTTTGTATTCAGTTATATTCTGTCATAGATGCAAAGAAGTGTATAACATATCACTGGATTTTATTTTGCTTGTATTAGCTCCTCAAGAGTTGTTGATCTATGAAATGGCAGAGAATGGAAAAAATTGTGACCAGAGACGTGTAGCAATGAATAAGGAACAATATAATGGAAACTTCACAGGTAAAGTATAATAGTTTGGAGGGAGAAAATGTACAGGTTTAAATGATATCCTTTTCATTGAAATAAAATAGAAATATATACAATATTATCTTGTTAATAAAATAATCTTATAATTATTTAAGCTTTATGAATCTTACATATGATTAATTAATTTGGTTTTGTTTGATGCACAACCTTATCATGCTATTATATAACTTTAGAAATATTTATAATTTTACATATCACACTAAATAGACAATTATCCAAAAAGTCAGAATGTGTTTGTTGTAGATTTGTTTCAAAATTTGGTTTGAGATGAATACATTTATATTTGAGAGGGGGGTGTGCAAAAAATAAACTTAAATTTTAATTTGTGGTAAATTCTAGTATATTTAGTATAGCTGACTAAATATACTATACATACATGCATATATACATGCACACATACATAAATTATACATACAGTTACCCGAAAAATTACTCCTCTAGTTTATAGAGGTGCTATAAGGAGGAACTTTGTGTTTAAAGGAAAGTGCAAGGTTTTTTTCTTTTCTGTTAATAATAACAATTTTCTTTAACTTTTAAATTACTTGGCAGCTCAAGTGCATTGCAAATATCCCCAGCATGATAACTTTACAACATAGAAATTACCTTCTGTTAGAAGTGTAAGCTATTTTAAATAGTAATTTCCTTTTATTTTGTTTATTACACTGCCTTGCAGAAAACATTTTGCAGCATTGATCTGACTTGGCTTACTTAAATTTTATATCACTGCATTGAGATTCAGGATTCAGAGCTTGACATTGCATATATCATAATCTTTTCCCATTAACAGCTTTTGAGTGTTATTTTTCTTTCCTTTTGTTCAGCAACCACATGCATTTATATATTCTTTCCCCACTGACCACCCCCTTCCAATTTAAAATTAATGTTAGGATAACATACTCTTTGCCATTATTTTCCCCTGCATTTTTAGAACAGTCGAAAGGATTTCTTTATTATGGGTGTTTAGTAATCACTGTACGAGTACATCATTTTAATCACTTCTTAGTCTTCTATTGGTTCTTCATAAACTTTTGCTAGGAAGTTTAATGCTGCATTGAATAAACTTATACAGAAGTCATCTCTCTTTACACCTAATTATTCTTAGAAGTGAAGTTACTGGGTTACACTATATATGCATATGTAATTTCAGTAGATAATGACTTAATTACATGCAGTGTCAAACTCTCCTAAGACTTTACCTTTATTAACTCATTTAATCTTTACAATGACCCTAAAAAGTAAGTACTATTTTTATCTTTATTAACTCATTTAATCTTTACAATGACCCTAAAAAGTAAGTACTATTTTTATCTTCATTTTAGAGAAAACTAAGGCATAGAAAAGTATCTAACGTGCCCAATGTCACATGACTAGTAGGTGTCAGAAACAGGATTTAAAACCAAGTAGTCTTGGGCCTCCCCGGTGGCGCAGCGGTTGAGCGCTGGGTTGCGAAGCTGCCCGCGGCCTCTGCGGTGCCGGTTCGATCCCCGGCTGCTCCCCGGCCACCTGAGGAGGGTCCCACATGGCGCGCAGGCCTCTCCTGCCGCCCGCTGCTCCCCTCAGCAGTGTACTTCAGTCCTTCTGTCTGCTCTGCTCCCTGCTCTGGCTCTGGTGAATTCCCTCACCCTCCCGTGCTTCTGACTGTACCCAGTGCATGTGTAAACAGAACAAATAAACAAGACGAATAAATAAAGAAATAAACATGCCTCTATAAAAAAAAAAAAAAAAAAAAAATAAAAAAAAAAAAATAAAAAAATAAAAATAAAACCAAGTAGTCTTGGGCCTCCCTGGTGGTGCATGGGGTTAAGATGCAACCTATGAAGCTATCCCTGTGGCACGAGTTTGATCCCCTGCCATGGAGCTACCCACATGGTATAGCAGACCTCTCCTGATTAGCCCGCTGCTCTCCTCAGCATTGTATTTCAGTCAATCTGCCTGTTCTGTTCCCTAGTCTGTCTCTCGTGAATCCTCTCATCCCCCCACACCTCTGGCCTGTACCCCAGTTCTTGTATGTATAAATAAATAAAATCTTTTAATAAATAAATAAAACCAAGTAGTCTTTTCTTTTTTTTAAAGATTTATTTTATTTATGCATATAAGAGCTGGGGTATAGGACAGAGATGTGGCAGGTGAGAGGATTCACCAGAGACAGAGTGGGGAGCAGAGCAGGTGGATCCACTGAAATACACTGCTGAGGGGAGCAGTGAGTGAGACAGGAGAGATCTGCTGCACTACGTGGGTTTGCTGCCTGGCTAGGGATTGAACTCATGCTGCCACGGCTGCTATTAACTTCATACTGCTGAGACTTTAACTCCAGGAGGCCCTAGAACCAAGTAGTTTACCTTTATATTTTAAGCTTTAAACCACTTTATGATCCAAGTAGTTCACCTTTATATTTTAAGCTTTAAACCACTTTATGATCTGATACAAAATGGTACTTTATAGAAGGTGGGCCAATTTAGCATTCCAATGGTGTACAAGAATAGAAACTTATGTCCTAACAATAAAATACTTGCAAAATGGTACTTTATTGAAGGTGGGCCAATTTAGCATTCCAATGGTGTACAAGAATAGAAACTTATGTCCTAACAATAAAATACTTGCAAAAGTGGAGCAAAAGCACCTATCCCATACCTGTCATATGTGAGCCACATTTTTACATTGAGGTATATGTATAGTCTTTCAAAATGTGGAACTGGAAAGGAGATGAATTTTGAAAGTGATTGGGAAGAGTGAGCATATATGTCAGAAAAATTTTTTTATATCTTTTAATGTTTTTCAGACCCCTCTTCAATGAATGAAAAGAAGAGGAGGGATCGAGAAGAAAGGCAAAATATCGTCCTGTGGAGACAGCCACTTATTACCTTGCAGTATTTTTCTCTGGAAATCCTAGTAATCTTGAAGGAGTGGACCTCAAAGTAAAGAGTCTTCCATAATCTTTTTTTTAAAAAAGATTTTATTTATTTTTGCGTAGAAGAACTGGGGTGTAGGCCAGAGTTGGAGGAGCTGAGAGGATTTACTAGAGACAGCGGGGACAGAACAGGCAGATCTACTGAAATATACTGCTAAGGGGAGCAGTGGGCCAGACAGGAGAGGTCTGCTGTGCCATGTGGTTTAGCTCCCTGGCTGGGGATTGAATTCAGGCCTTTGTGGTGGAAGCTCTGAGACTTAACCCCTAAGCCACTGGGGAGGCTCATTCCATAATCTTTTATACAAACTTTATTTACTAATTATAGAAATTTTAGAAACTAATTTTAGCCATGTGCCCTCTCAAAATGGATTAAGTAAATTTAGGATGTTATAGGAATATTTATTTTCCTTTCTATAGTTTGATAAAAAAAGATTAGGAGAACATATTGCTCTTTGCTCTTTGGGTTATTAACAATGACTAAAAATGAGATTTTTTTTTTCCTTCTGGCTATACCTGCAGGGAAAAATCAAACCAATGCATATTAATACTCTGATTCTTTAGTAGGACAAGGTTCAGGATACGTGGCACTTTTACTGATAGTTTGAACCAATGGAAAATGACTCTGCCAAGGAAATATGTTGTCTTTAAATTTAGTACTTATAAACCCTATTTCAAACCTCATAAAGAGCAAGTTGAACTTTTATATGCCTTATCATTTTCGGTATTGCCTTTCCAAGTTATTATCTGTAATAATAGCTGACATGTATATTGTACTTAGAGTTTATATAGTATTTTGTAACATTTTTCAGTTTATTTGATTACTAAAGCAACTCCACAAACACTGTAAAGGAAGCGTATGATTATTATGATTTTTAAGACAAAAAAACAGAATTAGGTTGGTTATGAGTGTTGCTAAGATTTAATTCCTAAGGATCTCTGACCCATGTACTCTGACTTCAAGGTTCTTTCCATTATATGCTTCTCCCAATTAGAAGCTGGGGTGTAAAAAAGATAGTCTTTGGCTAAAAGAAAGGTAGCAATGGGTTTATGATAAGAAATTGGGTTCTGTGCCCATTTAATCTCCCTTCTACACTTCAAAGCACCATAGTATTTAAGGACAGGAGAGCTGAACCTGGAAAGAGTTGATTCTATATTGAAGTAAATAGCTACTTCAGCAGTATATTGCTTTGAGAGTGATGAATCATAAAAATGAGATTGATATTTCTTTTTGTTTTTTAATTTTTTTAAGATTATGGCATCGTCAAAGCATTGTGTTGTCTTTTTTACTGCTGCTTGCTGTGCTTATAGCTACGTATTATGTTGAAGGAGCTCATCAACAGGTAAGTAGTTCAGCAATGTTTCCAATCTTGCACCTTCCCTAATCTCAGTTTGAAAATGGGACTATTTTGGGTTTCAGAGAATTTCTGCCTTCAACATTTTTTTTTAAGATTTATTTATTTATTTATACAAGCACTGGGTACAGTCAGAAACGCGGGAGGGTGAGAGAATTCACCAGAGCCAAAGGGGAGAGCAGAGCAGGCAGACTGACAAAGTACACTGCTGAGGGGAGCAGCAGGCAGCAGGAGAGGTCTGCGTGCCATGTGGGACCCTCGCCCAGCAGCCGGGGATTGAACCAGTGCTGCAGAGGCTGTGGGCAGCTTCGAAACCCAGTGCTCAACCGCTGTGCCACCGGGGAGGCCCTGCCTTCAAAATTTTTAAGCTTATTTTTTTTGTTGTTAAATTTATCTCATAACTGGTATCTTTTATGTGTTTTAAAACTAATGAAAATATCCTTTTGTAGTTCTTGGTTGCTCAAATTTATTTTGGTCTGTATCATTACTTTTTAACTTCAAGGATTTAAATGTAACTATCTGATGGTGTTTAATCAAAATAGCTACCTTTAATCACTACGAAAGTCTTCATAGCTTCTACAGTATTCTCCTGTGATCCAGCCAAACAAATGTGCTCATCGTACATTGAAGGTTAGGTTTTTGTGTATAAAAAGGGAACTTCATGTCCTGTAGTCTGTTAAGTACATTAATAAAGGGAAAATAAGACATTTGTTCATAAATTTTGTTAAAAATAGCAAATCATTAATGTATTCCAATAAGAATGGTATTTACAGTTTAAATTTTAGAATTAAAGAATTTTACTCCAATTAGATTTTTTTCCCCATCTTTACCACATATTAGAGAAATTATGCCTCCTCAAAGGGTTTTTGATCTTAATAGTTGCTTCCTATTAAAAACTTACTTTGATTTGCTTTATTTTGATTCTAGTTTAAAATGCAACATTTCTGTTTAAGAATTCTTTCTTGTTATTTCACCTGATTACTTTTGTGTTTCAGTATGTGCGACGTATAGAGAAGCAGTTCCTTTTGTATGCCTACTGGATAGGCTTAGGAATTTTGTCTTCTGTTGGACTTGGAACAGGGCTGCACACCTTTCTGCTTTATCTGGTAAGAATATCTTTCTTTTAATAAGCAGGATTAAAAGATTATATTTTAATTGGTGATTTTCCTTCAGAAATTAAATTTTGAATTTTTTAATTTATCCTTTGCATTTTATAAGCATGCTTATCCTCTCAGTGCTTTAATTTAAAATTCTGTGTTTTTCTTTCCTTTCGGGTTGAAGATTTAAAAAAGAAAGGGAAAATCCCTTAGGCAAATATGAGATTGTTACTTAATTCAGCCAGGAAGTTTTTTTCTTTTCAAATATTTGAATAGCAGTTCTCTTGCTTGTACAGTTGTCATTTTAATAGTTGAGGTTATATAAGTGTACAAAATTCTGCTTGAAGCTTAGAATGAATATGGGTAATTTGCTTTCTCCATTAATGAGCAAATGAGAAAGTCTGCCCTTCGATCCTCAGACACTGTGCACACATACTCTTGTTGCATATACTTGATGAAGCATTACATCTGTGGAACTAAGTCCTTTCTTAAACCATGTTTGGGGTTCAGATGATGGGGTTAGGTTCATGGGGCTCTTAGGTCTCTCTGAGAAAGAAGTCAGAGGTTCCCATTCATCGACACAGGGGAAGTTTATTGAGGAAAAGAAAAAAGACACAGGTAGGCAGTCTTAAAAGACAAGCGCTGCATTTTGCAAGAGCAAGGGATGTTCTTTCTATAGTGAAATAACAGAGGTTTTCCTAAATAGGCAAAATTGCCCAAATGTTGCATCAGGCAACATCACAGGCTACATAATGCAGGATGCTGCTGAAGAGCAAGATCCTGGCCTTTTTGTTGATACACAGCATCTGCTGTAAGGGGGTGGAGCCAATGGAAAGGGGAAGGAAATTAAGGAGGAAGGAGATTAAAGAAAGGGGAAGAATGTAGAAAATCAGGGATTGTGAGTCTGCCCTCCAGGCACTTCTTATCTGCTTGATGACTAGGTATTGTCATTGATATCATGCCCTAATTCCCTAGCCAAGATTTTAATCTTATCAACAAGGCATTCCACTGATCTGCTTCTGGGGTTCTTTGTTATACATGGGTCCTCAGGGTCTTACCTCTGATGTATAAATGAGGAGTATGGTCCTCAGCAGGCACAGCGTGCCTGGGGGGGGGGGGCGGGGGGGGGCACACCCCCAGCGTTCCTGGTCATGCCTTGTGATGCATAGCCTTCTCAGCATGATCCAGCTTTGTGCTCTTGTTTGATTTGAAAGGGACCTTGCAGGGTTGACCTTGTTTAGGATTTAACAAAGTGGTGGCCAAACAGGCCGCTTAGGAGTAGCAGACCCACACCCAAATAAGTTTTTCTCTATATGAAAGTTACCTCTTATGGAAGTGTTCATTTAGTTAATTATAACTCATTAAGTGGTAATCCAAAAGTGTTACTATATTTCCTAAATTATTAGATAAAATCTATCTGTCTGGGGCCTTCCTGGTGGCACAGGGGTTAAGTCTTTTCACTATGAAGCTATCTGCAGCCACTGCAGCACAAGTTCGATCCAGAGCTAGGAATAGGAAGCTTACCCACATGGCATAGCAGACAGCAGACCTCTCCTGCCTCGCCCGCTGCTCCCCTCAGCAGTGTGCTTCAGTAGTTTTGCCTGTTCTCCCCACTCTGTCTTTGGTGAATATTCTCACCCTCCGCACCTCTGGCCTACACCCCAGTTCTTGTATGCATAAATAAATAAAAATAAATCTTAAAAAAAGACATATCTGTCTTTAAAATGGAAAAATTGCCTTGACGTTTGTTTATGAGTAAATAATTTAATTTTTATTTTCAGATATAATTGAGAATCGATAACAGTTCAGTTAAGTCCTCATTATCTTTTTTTTTTAAGATTTATTTATGCATACAAGAACTGGGGTATAGGCCAGAGGTGCTGAGGGGAGGGGGTTGGTGAGAGGATTCACCAGCGATAGAATGGGGAGCAGAACAGGAGAATCTACTGAAATATACTCCTGAGGGGAGCAGCGGGCGAGATAGGAGAGGTCTGCTGTGCCATGTGGGTTAGCTCTGTAGATGGGGATTGAACTCTTGCTGCAGCAGCTGGTGATAGCTTGATAGAACTGAGAGTTTAACCCCTGCACCACCAGAGAGGCCCTTCATCACTTTTTTAAGCATTGGAAGAGTAGTTGTTTAATCTGCATTAGTTTAAAAAATTAATAGGGAAAAATGACATAGCTAGTCACAAATGAAAAGCCAAATACTGTTTATGCACGAACAGTGATTCTAGCAAAAGCAGAAGAGATGAAGGGAAACGTGAGGTCCTCTTTGATGGCCTCGGAGTTATATGTGAGCGCCATCACCGCTTCGGCCTGAGTTCAATCCCTGGCCAGGGAGCTAACCCACATATGGCACAGCAAACCTTTCTTGTCTCACCCTCTGCTCCCCTTAGCAGTGTATTTCAGTAAATCCACCTGTCCTGTTCCCCACTGTCTCTGGTGAATCCTCTCACCCCACTGCACCTCTGGCCTACACTCCAATTCTATGCAAAAATAAATAACTTTTAAAAATTAAAAAAAAGGAAAGGGAAAGTGAATGGATTCCTTCTAAAGACTTGAGTTAGTTAGACTTCTAGTTTAGTTGATTTATTCCATTAACTTTTTTTTAATTTAAATTTTATTTTTATATTCCCCATACAATTACAACCCCCTTATTTTGACCCCAACTCCTCCTTTCCCCGCCACCCACCCTATTCCATTAACTTTTAATAGTCAACAGATACTGGCTCCAGGAGGTATGTTAATCCTCTGAAATGCTTATGTGTTATTATGTGTCTTTGCAAATATGCATTTTTCTGTCAGAACTACCTGTAAGTGTTCATCAGATTCTCCAAAGACTCTAACTCATTAAAAGCCTAATACCCACTCTCTTAGACTATTTGTTTGAGTTTGTCTATATTTGGCTGCCACTAGGTGGCATTGCTAAGACAACCAATGTGCTGTAGTATGTCTGGAGGGCTTTGAAATTAACAAAATAGCTCTCCTTAAATTAGAGGGATGTCCTATTATTTATATTCATGTCTGATTTGTCTGTTTATCTATATTCAGCTGATGCATGTGAGTGAAATGAGTTTTCTTAATAATCTCTCATTCATGAACTAGGTTAACAGTTGTCAGTGACCCTTTCTCTCCATTGTAACATGTATATTTACATATGAGACATACTCCCATTTCATGCCTCATTTCAGATAGAATGCCATAAATATTCTATTCTATAATATTCAAAAATATGCAAGTGATCGAAAATGTTTGGAACTAAAATCTTTCATTCCTATGGGGGAAGATAACAGGATATATTCTGATTCCAACAGCTGGGTTTAACTGTAGGGTATTTGGAAAATTTCTTAACTTTTATACCTCATTTATTCAGCTATAAGTAAGAATGATATTATTAGTACCTCTCTCATAAGGCAGTTCTGAGGATTAAGTGAAATAACACCTGCACTTTTCAGTTCAGTGGCTAGTGTATATTAGGTGCTCAGTAAATGATAGCTGCTTTCATCATTATCATAATTTATGCTCTAGTTTTTTTTAAAGAAGACTTTTTTTAATTTATATGCTTTAGCTGTTACCCTTTTTTCCCTTTTGTTTCCATTTATTTCATACTGAATTTATTACCAGGCCATAAATTTTGTTTTCTTTTTTTTAAAGATTTATTTATTTTTATAGATGAGCTGGGTTATAGGCCAGAGGTGTGGGAGGGCGAGAGGATTCACCAGAGACAGACAGAGCAGGGAGCAGAACAGGCAGACGACTGAAATACACTGCTGAGGGGAGCAGCGGGCACGACAGGGGAAGTCTGCTGGGTCATGTGGGAATCTCTCTGGCTAGCCGGGAATCGAACCCGTGCTGCAGAGGCTGCTGACAGCTTCACAGAGCTGCGTTCAACCCACTGCGCCACCAGGGAGGCCCTGTTTTATTTTTTTCTGTGCATCCTCCTCTTCTGGTTTAGGAATAGTCTGCTCTTTTTCAGTAGAGATCACCTCAATGTGGCCGAGAACGCTTATTAAGTGTTAATTCATCCATGAGTTCTGTAAGTTCTACAAAACATCTTGGTGGCTTTGCTTATCTTGATGTACTCAATGACCAGAGACTCTCCATCTAAACACTATTCTTAAGAAATTATAAGCAGCATTTCCCACAATTCATTTTAATGTGATAGTATGTCATAATATAGTTGCAAATCACTGATCATTGTTCCATTTCCAGTGGTGTTAGATTAGGCAACTTAGATCAACTTTCTCATGAAAGTATCTTTAAAAAGTTTATAAAATTGGGCCTCCCTGGTGGCGCAAGGGGTTAAGACGCAACCTGTGAAGCTTTCTGCAGCCACCGCAGCACAAGGTCGATCCCAGCCAGGGAGCTTCCCACATGGCGCAACAGACCTCTCCTGACTCGCCTGCTGCTCCCCTCAGCAGTATACTTCAGTCTGCCTGTTCTGTTCCCCACTCTATCTCTAGTGAATCCTCTCACCCCCCTCAACACTTCTGGCCTGTACCCCAACTCTTGTGTGCTTAAATAAATAAATCTTTAAAAAAAAAAAAAAAGACCTACACAGGATCCATTTAATGAAGTTATTAAACATTTACTTTAATCCAAAATCAATGTGTTCCAGGAAATAAAAAGCAATTTTTGAGTATTTTGGCAGAGAATTAGAAACTATAAAGGAGAGCCAAATGGAAATTCTAGAATAGAAAAACACATTTAACTGAAATTATGAGCTTAATCAATGGACTTTATTTGGCACAGATACCAGAGGACTGGTAAACTGCAAACTAGTCCAGTGCAAAGAATCTAAAGCAAAAAAAGAGAGATGGAGAAAAAGACGTATCTTTGAACAAACTGCAATAAGACTGATTTCTTGCTCTCACTGATTTTGTTGAGAAGTCTTCTGACAGTGTAATGGATTTTTATTTTTATTTTTTTTTTATAGAGGCATGTTTATTTATTTGTTTGTTTGTTTGTTCGTTTTTGTTTATACATGCACTGGGTACAGTCAGAAGCGT